TGTTGAATGAATGGCTTTATTTCGAACATGTAAAAGAAACAACAACAATAATAATAATAACAATAATAATGCAATAAAAGCTAATGGACAAAAAAAAAACTCAACAAAACAGAAAGCAAAACAATATTAACTTATACATGTCCAAAAAGGAGTAAGAAGAAGCATAAGCTTATTTAATCCTACTACTCCTCAACTTCTCGTTAATAATCATCTGGTTGGCCGATCATCTTAATCTGTTTATCTCCACACACCAAGAAATACAAAAATAATGTACATATTTACCTGTTTATATCCACCATAAATAATAAATTGTTTAAAAAATAATAGGGCTGTCAGTTAAATGCGTTATTAATGGCGTTAACGCAAATCCATTTTAACGCGATACATTTTTTTATCGCGAGATTAACGGTCTTTTTGGCCTAGCAAACTTTGTAGGGTTTTTTTCTTGTGCTTTTGCAACAGGACGCGCCATGCGAGGACGTTTTGTTGCTTCGTCGACCAAAGCGCAAGAGCAGCGGCGCGCACCCCGCGGTCAAAATTCAAAATAGTTCAACTTTTGCCGCTGTGACAATTACCAGCGCGGCCAATAGCGTCTAATAAACTGACCCTTTGTGAGAAGTAATTCAGCACTTGCGGGTAGTTCAGTAGAATGAAATTTCCTCATTCCTTTATATCCGCGGGATTCGCGTGTGGCGCTGATATCTGTCTCTCATTAGCAATTGCGCCCTGCTTCATACCACAGTCATGTTAAAAAAACATAAATGTATTCACTCATCCATAAACAATAGAAACTTTTTGGCGTCGCGCCGCGCATTCCGCGTCCTGTCTGAAAGCACCGGATCTATAATGGGACAAAAAGAAATCTATAATGGGACAAAAATAATGGGACAAAAAGAAATCAAGAGACATTTAGAATAGATAAAAATGTGCGATTAATTGCGATTAATCGCGAGTTAACTATGACATTAATGCGAATAATCACGATTAAATATTTTAATCGTTTGACAGCACTAAAAAATAAATATATAAATAAAACTGTGAGAACACCTAGTCAATGACCTTCTTCATCCCTGTACCTTGTGAAAACCATATTTTTGTACCGCTTTACAAAAATTGCTGTTGCTGTTTAAGCGTAAACAACGTCTGCAAAGTTACAATGCTCAAAGTTCAAAACAAAGGAAGATATTTGTTTTTAAAGAAATCGTTTTTTTTTTTGGACTACAACAAACGGCTAGTAGGGACTACACGACATTCCTCCCGGGTTAGTGACATCACTAACCGTAAAATTTACATAAACCCTGCCACCGGGAAAACGCAGTCCATGTTGAGAAGAGGACGAGTTGTTGTAGTAGCACATATTTTACATATTGTAAAAAGGGACATTATACCACCCCTTTAAAGCATCTCCTTGCTATTATTTACCTTCATAATCATTTTTGCTAGTGATTTGCAGGAAGCTTTATGCGTGTGCTTACGCAAATATATATTTACCGGTCATTATGGTTTAGTATTCTCCTCAGTATGTATTTAAAGGTACAATATGTACGAATTTTGCAATAAAATATTTAAAAAATCACTTGCACAATGTGATATATTTCCTGCAGTTGTGTACTTATCCCTGGTTTCCGTTCGTACTGCCATAGTAACCATGGCGACAGACGTGGACAACTGCGTAACGTCTAGCGGCACGCTCACGCTGTTGTTGTTTCGTTCAAACATTATGGACCATGGCAAGCAGACTTTGGGAGGAAAGGAGAAATAAAACGAAGATCAATATCAGCGTGGCGTTTTCAAGATGCAGAGAGCTTTGCGTCCGACTTGACAGAGACGCCGCTCTTGCATGTACTTTATTAGACAGGTGAGCAAATGTACATAAAACTAATCAATGTTATATATCTCAACATGATGAAATGTTAGAATATGATCAGTATGTTTTTCTAATGTTGATATAGCTTACTGGTAGTCTCATACAGCCAACAAACTAACACATAGAATAACATTATAACTTTCAACACACTCAAATGCAGTTTAGTATGATAGTGTAGTAGACCAAGTGAAACAGCGCTGCGTTACCTCAAGTTTCATTCGTCTAATAAACTGACCCTTTGTGAGAAGTAATTCAGCACTTGCGGGTAGTTCAGTAGAATGAAATTTCCTCATTCCTTTATATCCGCGGGATTCGCGTGTGGCGCTGATATCTGTCTCTCATTAGCAATTGCGCCCTGCTTCATACCACAGTCATGTTAAAAAAACATAAATATATTCACTCTCAATATTAGATCCATCAGCATGATGACAAGTTCCATAATTCCACTTATGCGTCATCAATCTACGCCGTTGTTATTGTAAGAGGTTAGCGACCCCTAGCGGCAAAAAACAAACATATTGTAGCTTTAAGTAATTAAATTAATATGAATGTGCGATAAGTCGACAAATGGCTTAAATGAATGATTACTAGTTGTCTAGAAAAATCTTAGTATAGGCTATAGATCTTAGTATAGGCTTAGTATTTTTTTTCCTGAATTTTATAGCTATTTTTTCAGCACTAAAATCCAGTTAATCTGATTTCTAGCTTCTGTTGCAGTGATGATTTGAGCCGTGAATATTGGTGGGATTACTTTAAGTGTGTGTAAAATATGGCTTGTTGCTTTTAGAAAGAAAATACACAATTGCAACCTCCTTCCAACCCATCTGTCCCTCCAGAGGTTGTGCCCTTGAGCAATTACACTGTGATGAACTCCATGGCTGTGCCAGAAACGTCTTTCCCCCTGCCCCTGGATTTAGTATTTAAGTATCATCGGCTGCGGGACGGGCCTCATCTCTGCCCATTGCCCTCTCTTCCTCCCTCACTCCCTTTGTCCCTAATGCTGGCTGGATGATGTATGAGACAGATCTGGAGTGAAAGGTCACGTCCACCGGAGAGAGTGTGAGCTTTAAAGAAGAGTGTGTTTTAGCAGCGTTGTGTGATGTAATCAGAGCGACTCTGAGGTGCGGGCAGCTGATGGAGTGATTAATAAGGGTCCATCAGTAACCCCAGGGCGACAGGCGCTGCTGTGGCTGAGAGCGAGTGACCCGCTGATGCACTGTCTTTGACTGTGTGAGTGTCATCATTCCTTCCTCAGCGTAATTCATCACCGCTACGGCCCAGACAACACATTCCCTTTCTAGACCCAACAATCCCCGACTGAACGGAGCCCTGGAGTCCAACCCATAACCCCACTGGCCTGAAAACAACATCCTCCACTGTCCCACTAAAGTGAAACCCCAACATAGTTAATAACCTTTGAAAGAACTGTTAACTGAGGGGTTGTTTACACGACACCGTTTTCAACTAAAAACGTACAACTTTTTATGCGTTATGGCCGTTCGTTTACACGACAACAGCGTTTTGGGTGCCTGAAAGGCAAACTTTTGAAAACAGTTTTCAAAGTGTAGGTTTTTGAAACGTTTTTTTTTTTTTTTTCAAATAGCCAATAGCATTTAGTTTACCTCACAGACTGCAAGTCGTACTTGACAGCACCTTGGAAGCGAATCCGAGCGCTGATGATACGTTAGATTAACGTACCAACAACCAACTAACATTCTTAGAAAACGGAATAAAACTCGAGCGTTTGAGCAACCGAACACACATCTCCAACCCAAATTGGTCCGTGAGGTGTCAACGGTCGCTTTGGCCAGGTGGTACATCGCGGGACACTTTAGAATCTAGAGAGCATTTGATTGGACAGAAGATGTGATGAGAAGCTGAAGTCCGCTGTGATGTCATAAAAATCCATGATCCATTTTAGCTGAAGCGGAAGCAAGAGACTGTAGGTTTTGAATGCTTATATTTCCTAAATGCGAATTTTGTCATTGTTTTGGAAAACACCAGCTTATTCATAACCTTAAGGCTAAACTATTCATACTAAAGGTAAAAAACTTACATTTTGATTTCAGGGGGCCTTTAAAGGGATAGTTCACCTATCAAATACACCTAGCATGGCTTCAGGGTGAGTAAACTATCAGGGTGAACTATCACTTTATGGTATAGGCAATTTTTGTTATACTGGTTGAAACTCTTTTCACATCCTGATATAAGAGTAGTGGTCTAAATATTAAAAAATGCACATATGTTTGTCCAATCATTACAATCGATCCGATACCTGACGACGCAGCAAAAATCTGATTTAGAGAATTATGTATTACAAACAGAAGCCTTATAGAGCATGACATCATATTCTACTGCACATATTCTGACATTTTCGCAACTTTCCCTGGGAACCTGATCTCCAGCGTTCCTTGAGCACCTCCAAAGCACCAACTTAATTCATTATCAAGCTTTAAGTATTTGAATTTCACTCAATAACTACAGATTTCAGTACAAACATGAATCCTGGAGAGGAACTGCCTTTTTTTGGAATCTTCTATATACTGTAGCCTTCAAAGTGTACCCAAACTTCCCTTTAAAAGTCTCTATTCTGGTCAGGCTTCCACAAGAGTGGGAGGTAGATTCAATTCATTCAGGCAGAAGAAGGTAAACAGGCTAGAATACACTGTCAATAGTTTCCACGGTGCTTCAGAACAACATTTCAAAAGGCTCAGTGCGTTCTATGAAATATGAATCATGGGCTCAACTCTGCTCTTGCCAGGGTCTTGGCTTGATTTCCTACTCTCAGTAGCAATTTGAATATCCCGAGCCAGGCTAATTAACAGGGGAAATTCATTTATAGACGAGAATCAAAGAACTGGCCACATCAAAAGTGCCATTTTGAAGTTCACACGACTTTGTTAACCATAATAGAGATGACAGTCCTGCCAAGAAGTCTCCGCAGGCCCTGAAGACCACCTCGGAAAATGAATTTTACCCTTCAGATTTGGTATATCAAATGTCTTTTTTGAATTCTGAGAAGTGTGTGTATGGAACAATGTGCAACGGAGTGTGTATGCGCAGACACTGAGTGGCATTTGTGCCCCATCTACACACGCCGCCATTGTCCTTTTCCCTTTCGCTGTCTATTTACCTTTTGCATTGCATTCCACACACGTTCCTGATCAGACCGCTTGCCTTCAAGGGTGTCCATGGTGTCTGCCATTAGAGCCAGCAGCTGCCAGGAGGAGATAAAGATTATCACTGCTCAGTTCACACAAACGCCATAACTTTTCTAAACACTGCACCTTAAAAGCTAATTAAAAATCATTTGATGGCAGCTGATTTTTATAAGTCATCTCTCATATAATGAGGACTTCCTTCTTGTTCCCCTTTGGGTGGTGGAGAGGGGGAGGGATGGTCTTGGGTTTTTACAAGGCTGGTGGTTAGAAACTAAAACAATGTAGACAAATTGAGGAACAACACTCGTCCATCACAGGGCACAGCGGATGGTAATGTACACAGGGCTGCACGCTGAGACCCATTTACCTGAAGGTCCAGGATGGAGGAGGAAGAGGGAGAAGGAAGGGGAAGTTAAAGGGACATTAAGAAACAGAGAACGTGATAGATAAATAATGTAAATGGGGTCAATGATGTGGTACTGATTCATCAATTCAAAACTATAGTTCAGTTTAGTTAGTTATTTTTTTTTTATGGCAAAGTAAAATATGTTAAGGTACTATAACTATACTGCGATTGTAATGGATAAAATCTCCTGAAAAGATTGGAATTCTAAAAAAAAAAAAAAAAAAAAATCCAATAATTGTAATTGTCTGCAATATCAAAATCAGTGTGATATAAGCTCTAGGAAGGAAAATTATAAAACAGGAAATGACATCACAGAGAGGAACCATGTAGACCCAAGGGGGTAATTCATCGACCGGAAGTTGAAGCCGGGCGGGTGCCGCCATCTTGTAGCAGAACTTCACTTGCGTTAGCATTTCCATTGACTCCCATTCATTTTGGTGTCACTTTGACAGCGAATAACTTTACATCTGAGGCGTTATTATTTATTTCTAAAGAAACACGACAATGTATAAAGGGCTCCATTACCTTCTATGTTACATTATGGCCCCGTAGAATCAGATTTTGTAAAAATAGGCTAACGATTGCGTCATAACCACTCGAATCTCTGTCGCGCTGTACAGAAATTACCGTACAGACAGGAGGAGAAGCTCGCAGGCAATCGGGGGGACGTCCCGTCAAGGGAGAAGCCCATAGATAATGAGTCCATAAAAGCAACGGAATACTTACTCCTGCTCACTCACGCCAAAGAACTCTTTGCTCAAGTTCCCCGTCTCTGCAAGATTAACGTTGGCAATTTTCACGCACAGCTACTAGAAGATTTACGTCTGTCAGACAGGTTGCTCACGTCATCAAGCTTAGTTTGAGTCGGTTTGAGTCTGCGCGTCAGGAACGGAAGTGCTCAAAAATCGCTAAAAATGGGCTTCAACTGTCTCAACTGAGTTCCAATGAGATGGCTCTGTCCACTTCTTATACTGTCTATGTGTAGACCCAAACAAAAATACCAGATAATAAATCTGACATGGCAATATCTTTTTAGTTTGTCATATATCCTATGGTACAAATTAAAGAAACCTAAATGTAATATTCACAATTGAAAAAGTAAAAAAAAAGAAAAAAAAGAAGAACTTTGCTTCACTCACACACAAACTTTTTGTTTGTGTGTGCAGCATGTGGCTCTGAACCTCTTTTGAAGCAACAGTTACTCATATACATATAGCATACTTATCTACATATGTGTGCTTCTCTAATGTAGGTTTCTATTTAACTGCTCATTTAGGTCTTTGCAATTTGTCAGTATGATTCTGGGAGGTGTTGTATTTGCGCCCATACAAACATCACGGTAATTGAACGCCCCGTGGCTCTCCATTCATGGCAGATTTGGTCTCAATCTCACATACATCACGCTCTATTGATCTGGGCTAATCTCACCACTGTGGAGCGCTAATCTAGTAAAGAGGCAATTATGGTGCTTCAGCACTGTATGCCAGAATGAGATTTATGCCATCTCCTTCTTCTATTCTTTCTTTTTTTCTCACTCATTTTCTCTGTTCTGTTCCATCACTTCTGTATATGCATGCACAATAGCGGTTGTCGTCTTTGTCTGCGTTAGTTTCCCTTTCAGTCTCATAAATATTCACAACAGAGCTGTTTTATTGCCGTGTATAATTCCAGACTTTATTAAATCAAGCTGGCCTGGTTCTGCTCTTGTGGTATGATGCTACACGATCGCTCCCTCAAAACACACGGGGGTATAACTTCCTGACTAACTTGATTTTCTCATCTAAAGATTGTATGCCATTGCGAGCATATATACAAGAATCTTGTATAACTAATAAAAAAGAGTTGAAATTGCTTAACATTTTTGATGAGTTAAAGCATTGTAAAGACATGTTGTCATAACTTACAGTATTGATCATGTAATTTTTTACAGTGTAATAATATTAAAAGTTTCTTGTAAAAAAAAAAAAGTACTCTACTTTTGAATAGGACTGCGTATTGATACAGATATCGAAATTTGAAATAAATTATCCTTATTATCAATTATCAAATTGAATTGATTTTGATTTGTTTGGGTATATTTGCGGATGAAAGAAATTCTCTCTATGCTACTGCTGTAAATTATACAAGGCAGTGTTGTCAGACTGATTCTAACAGGTAAATTCGCTTTTTTGAACTATTTGTTTTTAATTCACTAAAAAGAGCCGCTTCAGAAGAGTCATTCGTTCAGGAATCAGACTACACTGGTCACGCTGTATGTTTGTGATTCACTAAAAAGAGCCACTTCAGAAGAGTCATTCGTTCAGGAGTCAGACTGGTCACGCTGTATGTTTTTGATTCACACACAAAAAAATTAAATAAAAGATTCATTACATTTACATTAATTTAGCAGGCCCTTTTATCCAAAAGCAACATGCAAATAAGGATTACAAGCAATTTATCTTAAAGTGCCAATAAACACAAGAAGTGTTACAATGTTTAAGACATTGTTCAGAACAGCTAATACAGCGAGGGATCAAATAATTTTTGCTTTTTTTTCAGCAGGATGCATTAAATTTCTCACGAAAAAGATGATTTTACAACTATTTCTTGAATATTGTCAGGGATTCGGCTGTCCGGATTAGAGCTGGGAAGATCATTCCACCATTAAGGAACAGTGAACAAAAACGCTCTTGAAAGCGATGGTAACACAAGGAAGGGGAAGCCTCCATTTTTCAGAAATCAGACTGGTCACACTACATTTTTGGTTCACTAAAAAGAACCAGCTTCATTAGAGCCATTTGTCTGTGAATCGGACACGGCTCTACCAGCTTGAGTAGAGCCCAGTGAGAGCAGTTACCATCTAAAACTGTTCTTAGATCAGTGTTAAGTGTGCCTAGAATGGCTCAGAGCTATCAAGAGATCTGCATAAGTAGCTCAGCCTGTTCACAGCAAGGGGAACACTTAAATAGCGATAAAAAGAAATAAAAGAAAGATCTCTATGTAAATGTGCATTTAGACTAAATTCCCACTTCAGACTGATCTGAATCCGATAGAGGATGTTTATAATCCTTTGATTTGATTTCATTCTTGTATTTTTCAGTGCATGCACACTCCAGGGCACACTCATTCCAGCTGTCTGCTTCCTCCACCTGTACTCGGAGAGCAAGCCTGGCCCTGTGCAGCAGTTTATCTGCATATTATGAATGCCTTTTGGAGGAACATTCGTTTGAAGTTGGAGATGAGGAGAATAGCTTTGTTTTCATGTAACTTTTTTCTTTCTTTCATCGAGTGACATTAAAAAGCACAAGAGAAAAGTAAAAATCGGCATCCAAGAATTCGCTACAGGAATTTTCACCCCGATAAAATAAACAATCCTGCCATGAGAGGATACAAATACATGAAACTCTTATCACTTTATCTTCCATGGAAAACAAAAAGAGTTATTAATAGCAGAATGCCCGTGCTGCTCTTGTTCACACAGTGAAAGTGAATGGGCATCATGGCTTAAATGAGATTTTCAGTTAATAACAACTTAAATGTAAGTTTCTCTCACAAACTTATTCTATTCTATTGATAGCCTAAGCAACTACCACTTTCAAGTCCCAGAAAGGTTGTAAAGACATCATTAAAGTAATCCTTGTGACTCCAGTGGTTTAACCTCAATTTATTGTTTACGCAAAAACAATGTTCCTGTCAATGGAAGGACAGAAAGCTCAGATTTAATAAAAAAAGATCTTCATTTGTGTTCCGAAGATAAACAAAATTCTTAAGGGTTTGACTTTGGAACGACACAAGGGTGAGTAAATAATGACAGAATTTTCATTTTTGGGTGAACTAACCCTTTAAGTACACTTACATGGCCTTTGATTTTTATTAATACTATATTATCTGCAAATATATTCATTTTTAACATTAATAATACATTTTAAAACATTCAATACATATATTATTCACTTTCATAGTATGGGAAATAGCATCATAAACATTTTTCAAAATATCTCCCTTTGTGTTCCATGGAAGAAAAACATTCTTTAAAGTCATCTCGAAATCGAAATTGACAGCATTTAATATAAATGATTTATCAGTGCACTTTTTTATTTTATTGAAACGATCCAACAATCCAATCAAAAATCAAATGGACAAAATCAAGTCCCATCCTAGTTTATCTAGTTTGAGAAGTCATTTCACTCGGATGTACGTCACAATAAGGAAGAAAAGACGATCTCGACTTCCGTTTCATGGCGACTTTAATAGAGTGAGGGCAAAAATAAAAAGTAACCGACTCACCAGCTCTGCATCAGAAGGACCGATGTCCTGCAGGTAGGGTGCGACCGCCAACTCAGCCAGTGTGTACTGTAGTACATGTGTATGCTCTCTGAACCTATTCAGCTGTCCCAGGACACTAGCATACTGAAGCCTCTCTATGAGTCCAGATCCTGTGGAAAAGCCCACCTAGACACCAACCAAAACACATGCTCATTTATATGAACGTATATATATAAAAACACACTTATTTCTGTGCTACTAATGGCACTGCAATCTGCTTGTTTGAACACTGGTTTAACCAATGGCGTGCGTTCGGGGCGGGACTGCTTGCTTTTTGAACAACAATAGAGCGGTGCAGGTATCACGTAATTTTGAGGTAAAACGAGTTAGCATTTTAGCACTTCCGGATCCATCGTCCTGAAGTCAATGGGTTTTTGGTTAAATGGCTGAAATAATGTCTGTGGTGAACACAAGTGCAAGATACTTTCACGTTTTATTCTACGACATAAAATGCATCAGTATTACTCCACTAATGATTTTTTTAAGCTGTTACATGTCTTGAAAAAGGTGATTGCTAACAAGTGGCTAAACGGGACTAGAGGCTGTCGAGGACATTAACGCCGAACAGGTAAACTCGGTCCGTTTTTAAAGCCTCGTAATGTGCTCTTATAAACTATTCTAACTCAAACGTTCTGGGAAAACGTTTTTTTTTCTCTCGATAAAAACAGAGTTGTCGGAAACTTGAAGTTGAAAGTTGAAGACGTGGCATTTAGGCTTCAAAATTCATAAAAGTTGTGTTAATCTGTGATACTTGGCATGTAAGTATCATAAACTTTTGTTGATCACAGAGCTTGTTTTGTGCGATAATTCAAAAGCCTATGGAAAAATCCTATTGGGTTTTTTGTCGAGGGAACCAGTGTGATGCTAACTGGGGGTTGGCCTACAAAGTCACATCAGACCTGCACCACTCTATAGACGGAGGAGAGCTTGAAATTTATTTGAAGTCATTCAAACAAGAATGAAAATTAGTCCAGTAGGTGGCATAAATGCACTTGTTGTGTATAAAATGCCAGAAGATGAACATTTCGAGTGTGAAGAGCTGGATGGCACAAAATGAGAGCGATGGTGTTTGCCACAATTTCCTGTTATATTTTTTTAAATATCAGACATAATGGTGAGTAAAAACTGACAGCATTTTTAGTTTTTGGGTGAACTATACACGAATCCGACGAGCGTTCTGTGTAGGCTGCCATCTTGTGGCGACGCCATTACTGAGCTGTTACCGGTATGTAAACAAACCTCCGTGATAACGCACCCTCGATGACAGCTACAGCCAGGCAGAATGACTTGTTGGGTTGATGATGTTAGACAGTGGCCTCCAGTCACAGATGAAGGTACAAACGATCTTACAGATTATTTATGAAAATAGCTTGGCAAGCTAGCTATGCTAACGTTAGCTAACGAGGAAACTATAAAAAGATCTGTCCATTTGGCAACAATAAATAAATGAATGACATCAAATAAACGAATTCATGTTTTTCATTTGTGTCCATTATTTATCTCATTTTCACATTGCAAAAGGCAAGGGTAAGGCACAGCTTGAAAGTATACATAATATCGACCAATTAGTGTTTTTAAACCATGGAAAGAGGTCAATATAACAGCAGGAGAACAATTATGTCACATAACGTTACATTTAGCTCAGGAAAGCCATTTAATGACCATAGCATGTTAATTGAATAGAAAAAATAGCTAGAGAGGAGATTTTGCTGAGCACTATATTACATATTTATTATATTTTTTACTTATGTCATTAAATAATTGTTATTATAACAAAAACTGCATTATATTTTAAAAAAAATTCTGTCACAGTCAAGCAAATCAAACATTAACAACAGACATAACAGTAATGTTACTAACGTTACTGCCCCAATGCGCCCTTTACTGCCGCCATTGAAACAATTTAAAACGGAACATGTTTTCCCACTCGACATTATAAAAGTTGTAACGTTAGTGACCGTCGTAAATCGCGGGCTGTTTATTCCAGTGGACGCAAGTTGCAAATAAAACAATAGGAGGCAATGGCGCAACGCTACCCAGCAACAGCTCAGTTATGGCGCCCGCTTACTTCTGGTAGTTTCGCCGGATTCGTCTATAGGCATACCACAGAAAATATTTAACAACAAAATGTGCTACATTCATTCAATCTATACCAATCCTTGAGAAAGTAGACTCCTTCTAACAGTAGAGACAAACCACACAACTCACATTAGGACTTTAACGCATCTCTCAACACAAATGCCATGCATCGCTTGACTTCCACATGAAAAGCGCTGCAGATAATGTCACAGAAGGCATTTCACATGAAGTGTTAACGGTGCCTGAATGTGTTTTTATTGGGTTTTATGTGTACAAGTGCGCTTCTGTCATGTTTCCTTGATGCCCTGACTTGTGCTGTATGTAAATGAAGTCATTATAAATTGAAAAGGGGACGTTGACCTTTTCCACAGAGAATAACAATACAAAGAAGAAGAACAAACACTTTTAAAAAGTGTCAGCATACGGCGCTTTTGTTTGAAACTGACAGCTCCCAGTGCCGAAGCGTCCCTCAGAGCCGTTTCACACACGCCGCTTCAGTGCTACAAAAGCAACTCCATGTTCCCTGATGATTCATTATGTCAAATACCTTTTGGCATCTTGTGTTACACACACATTCTTCTCATGCTGAAACTTGACAAAAGGTGACAAAATGTTGGAAGTCAAGTTGAAAAACTGCTATTCTTCTGCTATTTTGTTATACGCTCAACTCCAACCCCCATCCCAAGGTCGTCTCTTTACCGGTTTCCCCTGCGGACCGTTTTTGGCCTGTCGAGGTCTCTTGTCTAAATGATGCTCCACTTCATGCCTTTCTAGACTCCTTTTATTTCGTGTGAGCTCTGTTACTCTCCAGTGTCATTCATCCACTTTATGGTCATTTTTATTACCAACACATATCCCCCAGCATGCATCATTTTTCACTACTACCGTCTCAGTTTTTTTGGCTTTTTTTTTTTATCACAGCGCACTGTTTACTTCCCATAAGCCAAGCAGAAGAATCAGTGAGCTGGTTAGAGAGAAAGAAGAAGAAAGCAAGAATAGAGTGTTCATTGCTCTTATTTAATATATTTTCAATGAATACAATTTCTTTTGGATTCTATTCGATTTTGAAATCTATTATTTATGAAATGTAATATGAATTATATTTGTTATTAATTATATTTTAACCATATATTATTAAAAATGAGTTAAAAGTTTATATTAGGGCATTCAATCATTTTTGCTGGTCAATAAATCAAATGAATCACAATTATTTGTTAATTTTAATTTAAGCATCAAATGCATTAACGCATTAAATGAATATATATATATATATATATATATATAAGTTAAATAATTTGATTTTGTATATAATTTCTTCATATGTTGTATTTATATAAACCTACACTCACCGGCCACTTTATTAGGTACCCCATGCTAGTAACGGGTTGGACCCCCTTTTGCCTTCAGAACTGCCTCAATTCTTCGTGGCATAGATTCAACAAGGTGCTGGAAGCATTCCTCAGGGAGTTTGGTCCATATTGACATGATGGCATCACACAGTTGCCGCAGATTTGTCGGCTGCACATCCATGATGCGAATCTCCCGTTCCACCACATCCCAAAGATGCTCTATTGGGTTGAGATCTGGTGACTGTGGAGGCCATTTTAGTACAGTGAACTCATTGTCATGTTCAAGAAACCAATTTGAAATGATTAGAGCTTTGTGACATGGTGGAAGTAGCCATCAGAGGATGGGTACATGGTGGCCATAAAGGGATGGACATGGTCAGTAACAATGCTCAGGTAGGCCGTGGCATTTAAACGATGCCCAATTGGCACTAAGGGGCCTAAAGTGTGCCAGGAAAACATCCCCCACACCATTACACCACCACCAGCCTGCACAGTGGTAACAAGGCATGATGGTTCCATGTTCTCATTCTGTTTACGCCAAATTCTGACTCTAACATCTGAATGTCTCAACAGAAATCGAGACTCATCAGACCAGGCAACATTTTTCCAGTCTTCAACTGTTCAATTTTGGTGAGCTCTTGCAAATTGTAGCCTCTTTTTCCTATTTGTAGTGGAGATGAGTGGTACCCGGTGGAGTCTTCTGCTGTTGTAGCCCATCCGCCTCAAGGTTGTGCGTGTTGTGGCTTCACAAATGCTTTGCTGCATACCTCGGTTGTAACGAGTGGTTATTTCAGTCACTGTTGCCCTTCTATCAGCTCGAACCAGTCTGGCCATTCTCCTCTGACCTCTGGCATCAACAAGGCATTTCCGCCCACAGAACTGCCGCTCACTGGATGTTTTTTCTTTTTCGGACCATTCTCTGTAAACCCTAGAGATGGTTGTGCGTGAAAATCCCAGTAGATTAGCAGTTTCTGAAATACTCAGACCAGCCCTTCTGGCACCAACAATCATGCCACGTTCAAAGTCACTCAAATCACCTTTCTTCCCCATACTGATGCTCGGTTTGAACTGCAGGAGATTGTCTTGACCATGTCTACATGCCTAAATGCACTGAGTTGCCGCCATGTGATTGGCTGCTTAGAAATTAAGTGTTAACGAGCAGTTGGACAGGTGTACCTAATAAAGTGGCCGGTGAGTGTATATTTTTCTGTGTACACACACTCTTTCTGTTTGGGCATGGATGCAGCGAAGCTGTCATTTCAGAAACTTTGATATATGAAATAAATCCTAAAATGCCCTGGGATAATTTAATATTGATGTACAGCACATTATAATTTATATATTTGTATGATTCAGAGAGTCAGCAAATGAGCGTGTGTGTGGATCCAGAACTGAGATCTGCTGTTCTGCTTGACAGGTTGAGTTCTTCATTCTCAGAATGAATGTGTTGCCACAAATTTCATCACATTGGAGATGAAATCTGTGTTTTAATCGAGAGCTTATGGCTGTTCTCGGCTGGAGAATAACTGACTAATGTAATTTACCGTTGTGTCTGGGCCAATCAAACATTTGCCGTTGCTGCTCTAATTCAATCACAGTCCTCTGAAATAAACACCCTGAGAGTTCAGGCTCCAAATGAAATGAAAACTTCATCTTTGGGCATGTTTTTGTCTCCAGTAGACCATTGTGAGGTTGGAGAAAGATTGCAATTATTAGTGATATGCCAGGGATACTGACAGCAAGGGCTTGTTAGTCATTGATGGCCCAGAAGTCTATACAATTGATGGTGTTAGCTAAGGCAAGAATCACTAGCACTATTGCTCATACTTGGATTAGTGATTTGAACAAACTCCTAACCCAATATATTAAGCTTTGACACGTATCTTTTCCTGCACCGTTTGTGCTACAGACATGAATGATATACCACATCGCGAGGCTTGCCGAACTGTGCGATCACTTTTCTAAGTGATCAGGCCATTTTTGTCTGGTGGACGATGCAACAAACCGAAAAATCTCACATAGGCCTACTTACATTGATGAGGCTCTTTTAACTTGAGGCAAAAAGTAACCACCTATCAACTGCACAACATAATCATGCTAAAATCTCTCAAAAAAAACTTAAATGGATAGCTGATGTAATTCACGCACTCTTGTGTAATTCCAAACCGGTATGGATTTCTTTCTTCTGCAGTACATAAAAGAAGATATTTTGAAGAATGTTTCTAATTTTGGTTACCAAAAAATACAAAGGAATTCCATGGTAACTGAAACTGTTTGGTTACCCACAATTTTCAAAATACATTTTTTCATATTTCACAGAAGACAGAAAGTCATACAGGTTTGGAATGACATGAATGACAAGTGTGTCCCCGGCTGAAGGTGATTTTAAAACGGTTAGTTCCAGTCTTTGAATCTGATTGGTCAATAGCTATGTTTTATTCATGATAAAACACGGGTATGACCGCTTCACCCAACAACTATGTATCACTACACAACACCCCCTAGCAACCACTCTTAGCAATGTAAACATATGTTCTCATTGATATTGTTCATTGAAGCTTGTAGAGTATTGTGAGAGATCGAGTTGAGTGAGTGTACCTGCATTTTCAGTAGATATAGGATTTTCCTTCAGGTCAGTCCTATATTGGTAATAAAAAATCAGTTTGAATCTTTTTTTTTTCCCGTGCCCTGACACGCTAGTCATTTGTCAGTTGCGTCTTTCTTCTCCGTGTTCACAACAAGTTTCAGTCCTTTCAATATAAAAGTCTTCTCTAATGACTCACTCATAAAGAAAATATTTGCCGCCATCGGTCAAGGACTATTTTTTCCAGCGGAAGGAAGGCTTTTAGTGATTTTACTTCATGAAAGTTGCATTGATACATATTTTTTGGCTTTAATATTAGTATGTGTGGTAACCGTTTTATAAAAGCAATAAGGTACTCCAGGCTAGTGCCGTGTCGTGAATAAGCCACGGCTGAAGGGGTTCCGCTTCACATTCACGACACAGCACAGCCTCTCATACCTTATTGCTTATATATAAATTATAATATAGTTAACATTTTTGGTAGACTAGCCCTTTACCAAACGCAGAGCAACACCCTGGCAACCAGGGTATGGAGTATAATACTTACAAATAATCAACTGGACAGTCACTTAGCATCACACAAGAACATAAATATATACCCACACTTAGCTTGGTACACCTAATAAAATCTAGAACTGGCAGGATCTTCTTTCCTTGCATCTCATACATCTTTTCCAAGTCTCTGAAGCTGGGAGAGGTGAATGGAGATCTTTGACCTAAAAAAAAAAAAAAAAAAAAACAGACCAAAATTGAGTAAATGCTCAATAAATATTACGAATTATACATTATAGGGACCAAATGTCTGAGACCACATCAAAAACCTGTGATTTACCCTTGAAGATAAACAGAACATTTTAAAATAATTATATTTTAGTCAAATAATAAGCAAAATAATTGCAATTCAAGATGATAGACACTAAAACAGAAAAGAAAAGTTGGAGTTAGTTTTATGAAGGCTCAGTGGGAGCGAGTTCAAGAGTTTAGGTGGCATAATGCTGAATAATCTACCACCCATTAAAGGAAAATTGGCATTTTCATCAACTCTTCATAATATTATGTATGCTAAGAGCACCACTAGCTTGGGGAAACGTTAGACTAATCCCTGGGGGCTCACAAACGTCCCCCTGAGGGCCCCCAAGACAGTGATTTCAGGGCCCGAAACCCTAGCGAGATGCATGAGTTAATCTATATGCAGAGCATGTGAAACATCCACATATTCTAATAAAAACTGTTATTCATACTAGTGGTGCTGCAGGTAAACACATGCGCAGCATAGATAATACAAAACATTATGACAAATTGTAAATGGGTGGCAGTTATAGTACCTTTGCAAAAGAAGTTTGAAGTTGTTACAGCATGTTGAGGATGATTGATTAGTATAATGACCCATGCTGTGGCTGTACCTTTGAGACATTACACAAATGCCATAGATTTCCCTCCTCTTAATAGAGATCGTTCACAAACACAGCTTAAGCTTTTCTGTGCAGGCTGGTTGACGGCAGTTCAGCCTCGACATTTTTGCCTCTCTGGCTTTGCACGAACCAAGGTTAATTGAGAAATTTTATGCCATTGATGTCAATACATTGATTGGTCCCTGTAATCTCTTGTCCGTTTAAACAGAACAGAAAAGGGCTGAGTTAATAGGAGTTTCTCATTCTTGAAAGACGATGATGGTGCGACCTTGGAGGTCAGTCCGTAAATTCGTACATTTAACATATGACACAGCCTTAGCCCTCGATTTCAATTGGA